GAGAGACAGAGAGAGAGAGAGAGAGAGAGAGAGAGAGAGAGAGAGAGAGAGAGAGAGCAGTAGTAGTTTAATGTCTGGGGCGGAGAGAGAGAGAGAGAGCGAGCAGTAGTAGTTTAATGTCTGGGGCGGAGATCGTGTAGCGTGTGATACCGGCTTTTCGGATGAGATTCTGGGCATCATAACGTCCTTAGCATTGGAAAGAGTTCATCTTCTTTCGCCCAGAGCTTCGTTGAGTTGAATTACAGATGCTCAGATCTCCTAAAGAACAGAAATACCAAACTGGACAGGATCGCTGTGCTACTTTTCATACAGCAGGTCTTTTGAAAGGAAGCCGGGGATCACTGGCTTTGTTTTCGGTTAATTACGAAATAATGTCAACTACGTCGTAAAAAGTGTATCTGTTAAATAGCCTACCGAATAATTTGGGTTCAAAACTAGCTGGTTTAGAAAAACAGGATTGTCATCAACGACTTTAACGACTTTTCAAGTAAACCTGCATCTGATCTGGACTGTTTACTTTGGCTTAAAGGGCAACCTTCATTTTATGGTAAGATAGCATGCATCCATATATCCTACACACACACATCGCCTTTTGATAAATATGTTTAGCCATTGCAAATGACCAACATTGTGTATTAATGTTGTCCAATAGACTACACCTCATGGCTGTGTCCTACAATTTAGTGAGCTGCCTAGCTAGCCAGCTGACCGGGACTTGCCTAACGATGGCCAACCGTGCTGCACTCGTTTATGAAGCCGGCTCATTTAGGTTTTTTGACACATCCTTAACTTTAGATGTTGCTTTGCTGGTCCAGGGCCAGCCTGGTTTGTTAGCTTGTTTCTGAGGGACTTTTAGGGCACCTTTCAGCTGACGGGGAAGAAGAGAAAAGAAACACTATAGTTTAGGCTGCCTTACAGTGAAGAAACATTTATCCTATTACTTGACTTCAAGCCAAACTACAAACTTGAGCAAGCAACTTTTAAGAAGCTCATGCTACAATCCAAGCAGAATCCGATTACATGAATCTAATTTATTTAATACTTTTTAAGATTTTCATTTCAATCATGTTACAGCAACCCATGGTGAAACTGTGACCTTATTTGACCTTTCGAGTAAATGGGTGACAAGAAGCAATACTTGGCCTCCATTTGTCTATAAGTTCTGAGTCCAAATTTGCTTTTGAGATTATATTGAGCCTCATCAAATGGAAAACATGCACTTTTAAAACTAAAATTAGTTTTTCTAGGTAGTGTAGTGAAGAAAATGACAGTGATACCCTATACAAGCAGATGGAATAAAGTTCATGACCCCTTCATCCTACTATTTTGGGTTTTGATATCACACAAGTCATGTGCCCATCAAGAGGACAGTGTTACTGCCCATGCAAAAATAAACATGATGAAATGTAAGACGTGAAACACTATTTTACATATCCCAATGGACTCCTATATGTATATTACCATAAATATTTCCAAAAGTACTGTTCAATAACATGCTGCTTAAAGGTTTATTTGCAAGTCGGTGATCCAAAACCATCTGATGCCATATTGTAGGAATTCCACTGATTTATAATGTTAACAGCTGAATATGTAGTAAATAATTGACAAAAACATAGTGTTCTGTCTCATAAAACATCAGTTACTTTCACAGCTGACTGTATCCCAAAGTTCTGCTGATCTCAGATCAGATTTAATCTGTCATGCATGTACTAAACTTCAGAATATCATTGCTTATGCTCTGCTCCTATACACTGTGTTGTATTGAGGATCATGTAGAAACCTGAAGTGAAACTGAAGTGATCATGTAGAAACCTGAAGTGCATGATTTCTAATCCTATCACAGATTGCATTCTTGCCTAATTTCTTTTTATTGCATCATATGCCCAAATATAAGAATGTCTCACTTTGTTTCATAGTCGTACGAATCGCAGACAGCTGGGTCTTCCCTAGAGACCAAGAAAGCATCTGTAGAGAGACATATGAGTGCACGCGGTCCTCCAGGGTTATTTGCTTCTGCATGTGTGGTTTGCTTTCATGAGCACGTGTGCTTGACTTCATGCTGTAACAGCCGAGATAGTCTGTTACGCTCAGTCATATGTCAAGATCTCTTTCGCTCACAATAACTACGTCTTCCTGGGTAGTGGTGTGTCAACTCAACTTGATTGATCTTTCTATACCTTTTCTGTATTTCTGGTGTGGGAATGTTTTCTTTGCTCTTGTCTCTTCTGACTTAGTGTTATTTATTCATTTATTTATTTTACGATGATGTTATTAAAGTAAGTACTTTTGAGTGACACGTACATTTGCAATGCACCAATATTCAAATTCTAGTGATTCATCATAGGCCAATAAATACTTTGTTTTGACCAATAACAAATAAATGATAAATATTACAATGTTGTGCTCTTTGGTATAAATCTATTTACAAATGAGACACAGTCAAATTAAATGCTACAAGTGAATTTAGTCATCACAACAATGTGAAAAAAAGTTATATTCATTTTGAAGTTTGCTAAGGGTTGCATTTTGTTTTTAAATACTGACTTTAATTGAGCATTAAATGTTGGCAAAAGGTGATCTAAATGTAAAAAATAGGGTAAATGCAAATCCAATATTTGCTGATAACTGATAAATAAAAAATCTAATGTCGTCTGATATGTATATCAATATATCATATGTAAATGACATTATTATCCATGGCATGTATTAAAGTACCATGTTACCGCAACAGTACTGTTTGTAAGGGTTGTTTATTCATTTTTACCCATTTGTTTGCCCATTTGCAGACACACCAAATGCAAGTAAATGCGTTTTCGATTTCTTGTCTATGATTCCCAGATTACAAGACATTTTAGAATTATCCATAACCTATTTGGTAGATAGACATCTACATTTTTTATTATGAGCTGCTTTTTAATAATATAAGCAATGTAAGTGATAACACAGGTAATGCCCCTGTCTGCTCAGACAGCATTGAGAGGTGAAAGGACACAGCCTTTAAATGCACTCAATTGATTTTTTCTTAAAGAGTTTATCTGGATGCTCATTGTTTTTCTTGATTGCAGTCTCATGAAGGGCACATGTTATCTCTAAAAAAACTGCTCTTTCTCATAGTGAATCTTAATCTAGAGGGAACTGAGCTTCCTGAGTCACTCAGTGTGCACTTAGACAGACCTCCTCCACTATCTGTTGTATCTGCCATCTGTGTTGACAGCACACTTTATATTTGTTATATTTGTGGCTTTTCAAACATCACATCATGCTGGGGTCTGTTTTAGATTTCAGCATCACATTTGTCTGATGGTAGTTATCATAAAAATTGTATACATCCTCACACTCATGCACCAGACCTCGGTTTGATGGAATTTGTGCTTTATCAAAGCAGCTAGCTAATGCATAAACAAGGCCATGGCAACGCGCAAAAATACAGTCATGTGCTAATAGAGCTTACTTCCTGTTCCTCTTCCTGTTCTTGTTCCGTTACTTCTCAGATGATTTAAAGAGTTTTAGCTGAATAACCATAGACCACTCACATATAGTTTTGTTTTGTTTTTTATTTATTCATTCATACTTTTATTCAGCAATGATGCATAATGCAATTTCTATTCATGAAAAAGACTTTAAATTTATCACTGGTCCCACAAAACTAATAAGCTGCAAAACTGTTTTTAACATTGATTATAATAAGAAATGTTGGTATTACTATTTATCTATTTATACTTTTAACTTAACTTTTGAATGGTAGTCTAC